TCGTTTAGGTCAGTTCTGAGGGGCTAAGAGTCCAACTGCGTCATGGAGTTCAACTTTTTTTTTGTTTTGTTTTGTTTCTCGTCGGCTTTCATTCTGATATTCTCACTGCAGCTCATTCTTGTCCTGAAAACCACCCAAGGTACACAACCCATCGCGGGAAACATGACAGCTAATGGGATCTGTAAGCGATTGATTTTTATCGTGAAACCACTGTGCAGAGAGGAGGCTTTCTGTATGACATCACGATCTGCTTACTGTCAATCAGCGCACACCACCGGATGACCTCTGGGGCTAGGAGAGGAAATAATCACTCAGACAATAGCTTCCTCAGTGGGGTGACCTCTCCCCATTAGAGGAAAGCTCATTTAAAGAAACTAAAGCTGGACATCAAAGTGTGAAAAGGGAAAAAAACAAAAAAGGAGAAGTGCGCTCTCAATCTTCAAAATATTTTCAACTTAATTATTAAGGAGATATTTACATTTGTCCAAAGAAAACAGTTTATTCTTGACCCCTGCTTCATTTCTTAAAAGCTCCACACAATAGAATCTCTCATTGCACATGGGAGTATTTACCAGGGCAACACAGATGAAAAGACCTTCCCTCCTCACCCCCTCCTCCACCCCCTCCTCTGTCCTCTCTTTCTCTGTATTCCCGCTCCAAGTCTGGATTTATTTAACTTTTTTTTCTGTTGCAGATGTCAGCCATATTTAAGCTGAACTTGGAGCCAGACCCTTTAGCTGAGGCTCTGGGCTACCTCACATGCTGGATTCACTGTTTGGCTGCAGATTTTCCCTCTACAGGAGGGCAGCAACTGAGACGGGGGAATCTCAGTCATCTGCACTTTGAGCAAAACGAGCGTTTAACCAGCTTGCGTCACTGTTTGTGCTGGAGTGGCCTGAAGCTTTGGTCAAATATCATCCGTCTTCAGGTCTCCATTCGATTCACAAACATGTTTGTACAAAACTGTTATTACTTTTAGCCAAATTGTTTCATTCCCCCCTTTAGACAATAGCTTCATAATTCGTTGTATATAAACTCAGTGAGGCCCCGTCTTCACTGTGCATTAATATAGCTGTGTTTCTCATCTGGGCTGCACTCAAATACAAACCAGGTTTACAGAAAGAATTGTTGTCTGCAATGCAAAACAAATTCAAATCTGTTGTTTATTTTTGCCCTTTAGCCCCTATTATTGGTCACAAAAACAAAGGAAAAAGTTTTTATGTATCAAGAAAATGTAAACATATCAGGAAGTTGACGCAGGAGAAGAAGAGAGGAGAAGAAAGGATGTGCTGTCATTTAACATGGGCAGAAAGACAAAAATGACCCATGTTTTTCTGCTCAGATCAACTGTCTTTTCAGTTTTTCAGTTTTTTTTAAAACAACCGAAGGAGGCGGGTCAAGATGGAAGGTGGATGGTTGAAAGGATGATTGGATCATGAGTCTTCCTGGCATGAAAAAGCTGAATATTTCTGAAAGCATGACAGAGCAGGCCGTTGACCTGTGTGGGTTACAGCAACATGACACCTTCACGTCACTGACCAGCTGACCTGTTGCCCCGATCTGTCTCCAACTGATGGTGTGGAGGAGCATATTTAAGAGGAGAATCCAAGCCCTCCCAGTTCTTTTCTCAGATGTGAAACACATCATATTTCCCTGTGTATCCTCAGAATTGTTTAGGACATGCATGAAACATGCAGAAACAGCAAAAAAAATAAATAAATAAATTGCATTCGATCAGTTTTAACGACACACAATTAATCTTAGTTAGCGACTCCTCTGTCCAGATATGCAGACCAAAACAAAACAAAAAAAGAGAGAGACAGACAATGCCTCATAACTCAGTGTGAGGTTTGGGCTCATCGTGCACCACTCCCTTCTCATTCCTCCTTTTACAGCACCCAAATGCAATATGACACAAATGTCTGAAGGGAGACATGATGATGATGGAGGTAAACAGAAAACAGCACAGTCATCCAGTTCAGAACAGCAACTTAATAAGAAACAGAGAGAGAGCAACTTTGAAATGTCCCCATTCACATCCATCTGCTCTGACATGTTTAGCGACACTAACGATCCAGGCCTAATGCATAAAATGTGTCCAAAGATCCATTCTTGTCTTTAACTAATTTCAGCAGTTGCGGGAGGGGGGGGGGATAAAAAGATCTGTTTTCTATCATACTATATGATCACTTCTTGTGAAAGAAAAGATACATGAATACCCCACACACAGGTTTTTAAGGGATTTTGCTGTCCCACTGAGCCTTTTGACAATCAAAGCAGTCTTATTTCCACCTCATGTAGATCACATTCCTGCAGGAGCACAAAGAGGGTGCAGTGAGGCTTTGATTAGCCACACAGGACAGCACAGGGGTCAACACACCAGAACAAGCCACCCCAGTTTCACCGCCCTGCCTCCAGCCAATCCTCTATACAGCCCTCTTATTAATACCCTTCCGGGCTTCCTCCAAAATCCCATCTCTCTGTTTGTCCGGATCCTGCTCAACGGCTTTTCCGGTTGCCGAGAAAAGAAGGAACTAAAAGACAGAAAGAAGGCCTGGAATCACTCTCCCAGAGCGAGCATCCAGGATTAGAGGGGAAAAGAGCAAATACCATGGGGCGCTTTAAGGAAGGCAGCAGTGAGGGTTAGGACTCCAAACAATGGAAATTAATTAGAACCCCCTGAGAGGCACATTGCTCTTCTGATAAAGGATTAGAGGAATACAGAAAAAGCACATCAGTACTTTTGATGTGAAGGTGTGGATGCAAAATCCAGCTTCTTCAAACCCAATCTGTGCCAGTCGGCATTTTTAACAGTGACTCAGTGTGTTCCACTTTCATCTTAAAGATTCAAAGCAATATTGGGAAAACTAACATTTTGTTGAAGGTTTAACTGAAGACTCGGCCATTACACAAGGATTCCCTTCATGTAACATGGATGCTTCCAAAAACCAACAATTCCCACTTTTTTCATTGTGAATTGTGATGCTATGCTAATCAACAGCCACTCCGACAGATTATAAACAAACTGTTTGGTTGCTTTGTGTATTTAACATGTCCCATTTGTGTTCAAACCCTGTCAAATCTGTCATATATATAACAAGTTTTATTTTGGACACTGTTTCTGTTTCATTTGGATCCTCTGTGAGAAAAATGCTGCTACGTAGCACATTTCTTTTTCAGTTACATCCTATTCTGGTTCACAGCAATCCAGGACATATTTATGTTTCAGTTTCAAGTGCCACATTGGCTTATTTTAGGAAAATGTGCTTTGGTTAGAAACATGGCAATCTTTAGCCATGCTAACCCATGTTATGCTAACATAGCAGTTAGTATGCCTTTAGCTACTGTTGCATTTTGCATTTTTATTAGAATGAAATTATACAACCTGAATATAGATGAATAGCATAACTACATTTATCCTTGTCTGTCATAAGTAATCATTATTTTCTTTTAGGAGAATATTTGTGATGACATTTTTATTCAGTGTTTACATATTACTGGCCTAAAACCAATAGATAGCAAGGCTAATGGGTACTGGCTATCTAAAACCAATAGATAGCAAGGCTAATGGGTACTGGCTATCTATTGGTTTTAGGCAAAAAGTAATGTTTTAGTTGCATAAAGCCAAAAGGCTAAAGTGTTAATGGCTGAGGTGTGAAAATGGAGGAAAACACCTGTACTACACATCATTTGTTCAGACTGGTTATTTAGCGTTTTAGCCATTTTGACCCAGGCAGTACATTGTTTGATATCAACACAAACGACATGAAACACTGTGAGCCTGTCAATTGGGAATTATTGCAAGAATATTAGTTCAAAAATCAATTAACAGAAACATGCATTCAGTTTTTATCTGAGTAAAACCAGTATAACTTGGAGGCAGTTCAACAATTCTCTCCGAGAAAAAAAACAATGGAGTATATTCATATCCAAACTTGTTTCTACACACTTCAGTTTAACAAAGAGACAGCTGTCTGTGTGTCGGTGGCTGTGGGTGAATGGAGAGGAGACGGAAGGTTGCCGGAGGGTCAAAAAATCACAGAGACAACCCCAAAGATCTCTGAGTTGAAAGGCGAGCTGGGAACCCAAGGCCAAGTTCCCTGTCAAACAAAAATACTCCCCGAACGGAGTGAGAAGATCTGTTGCTGCACCCCCCCTCAGGCTAAGATGAGACAGTGTGTAATTTAAGTCAAGAAAAAAGTGCAGCATCCATCACGAATGATAACAAGGCGGATGTTGGAAACAAATGACAGGATGAAAACTCAGTCCAGTGACAGTTTTACCCCGACTTAATCCAACACAACCCCCTCTTAAAGCAGAACCTAAAACTGGTTTAAAACAGGTTAACACACAGTTCGACAACAGGCTCTACAATGGCTGTTTGGTAAAGTAATCTGGAGGCTTTAAGAGCAACAACAGTTATCGTTCTAGGACCTCCAAACAAAAATGAACTATTTGTTTCGATGTGTGAGCCAAAAATGGTTAAATATCATTGAAAAACATTGTCCTGTAAGACCAAAGTTGTGAATAAAAATCATACAGTTAAAATGTATCATCAATATGAATTCAAATCAAAGTAAAAGATCACATTGTCAAGAAAATTAAATACGTCCTATAGTTTAAAAGATGTTTTACACTAAAAAAGTGTGGAGAAAAATGTTTTGGAAAACATAATTGGACAACCTGGCTTCAATTTCAGGTTGGACATTTAATTTTTAAGGGAATAAAGTATGTTTTATGTCTAATAAAACTCCTTCTGACAATTCTACAACATGAAACATGAACTGATTGTATCATTTTCATGTTACAGATGATGATAAGAAATATTATATTTAGGGTTTAACTGAAACGATGTCCAGAGAGATTTAGCCCTTTATCAAGACCGTTTTTTTTGTGTGTTTTTTTCCTCAGAGGGGAAACTTCAACACTCTCGGTGTGTCTCCACGCCCATAACATATTTACTTGGGCGGGGGGACGGCTGAGGACACACTTTTAAACACTCCTCCGGGGCGCAGGACGCACGGAGGACGCGCTCAGAAGTACCCGAGCCTTCGCTTTGAAACGCTGACGCGCACGTTTGACTTCTTCCAGATCTCCTTTCCGGCAAAGTTACATTTCTGGTGGTTGCTCTTCTTCTCTTGCCTGTTGCTGTTTGTGCTCCGGAAGGGTCGGAGGTGTGTTTTCTGACATGATGCTGGGATTGCGGAGGACTGTTCGCGCCGCACTTTGGATGAAGCGACCTGAGGATTTTTTGTGGGAATAACTTTAAAAAAAACGGGGAGTTTCGGAAAGCGTGGGCTCGCCTGTGTGATCGCTGAAGCCCTCTCGGGTGTCCCGCACAGCAGAATGCAGCCGTCACCTGCAGTTCTTCTCATTTCTTTTCTGGGTAAGAATCCGCTTCGCCTTTGCTTGGAATGGGAAAACAACCCCGTTGCATCACTTGTCAGCTTTTTGCTTCTGCAAAACTCTTCATTTAGAGTTCATTTAGACAACATACACTAATATTTTCCACTTTACTTCCTGACATCTTAACACCTGTTTGTCAACACCCTGTTATATAAGAGTTACACCTCATCCTCCATTAATGCGCATTCAAAGGTTAGAGGGCAACAGGATCCTTCTCTGGGGCCGTTTTGCAGATGAAAGCTCCAGTGGAGAGCCACTTAAAGCATCCGCTCCTGATGGAAACCCTCTGAGCAGAGCGGAGGATTGTGGGGCGACAGTTGACCCGGTCCATCTGCTGCCAGTGACAATAGAAGGCAGCACTTGGCAGCGCCTTCAAACGCTTTGGTGGAGATAAAAACGAGGCCGTGGACTCCACTTATCCTCCAGAGTGTGTTTAAGCCAAAGGGAACTTTCAATTAAGTGGCGTGTTATTGCAGGGTTTCGTAGTGGCAAAGAAAATGCACTGTCAGCCTGGATTAGCCTGCGTTGTAAATCTACCGAGGGGGAGAAAAACCTCAGCGGGTCTTCGGAGAGGAAAATAGAAAGTAGAACATTTTTAAAAAGATCTGGGGAGAGAAACGACGGGATGCTCGTGGGGGAAGAGACGGCAGCGGCTTCTTTTTCGGCCTCTTACCGGAATAAATGAAGTCACGCTCAACCCCGATGAACCTGTCTGTGAATGTACAGCAAGACAGCGGAAAGAGTTCGTGTTTCTATTGGTGTCGACTCGAATTGGACTCGTAAAACATGTGAAAACATCCATTATTCAAACTTTTCTCCCACAGCTTGACGCAGGAGTACAGCTCCAGGTGCGTTAGGGTCATGGGGTCAGAGTTTCTCATTTAAAAGACCATAACAAGAAAGGATCATTCACACAGTAAAGCTAAAGATTTTATTTATTCAATCTATGGAGAGTTTAAAAAAACAACAACAACTCAGTGCACAGTTGGACAAAGAAATGAGTATATATCATCTAAAGGATTCTTAGCTTTCATTAAGAATCTGAAGAACATTAAACTAATCTTTCAGTTTAGCATATTAACCTGCTGACATAGACTGAACGTGCTCTCCAATGGCTGCTGTAATTCTGGATAACACGGGGATGAATACCAGTTCCCAGAGTTTATCAGATCCTGTAAATGGGCACTTTGAACTCCAAAGTTCCCTCATAATCAGGGCTGTGATTGTCGAGGCAGCGATCAAAAATCTTCAAAGCAACAAAAAGAAAAAGTGGATTCACACAATCAAAGTGCAGTGACAGAAGGAAACTGTGGTCTAATGGAGATGGCGAGGACAGATGCACAACAGATGTGGAAAAGGCATCAAATAGCCAAGCAGCACAATGTGACCCACATCGGCTCTCAATTATCATTTATGTCGTCAAAAATAAGGCCAGTAATCGCGTTTGAAGTGACGCAGAGTGCAGAAACAGAAGACAATCTCCGCGTTCCAGTTTGGCTGTGTTTACGTTTAATGAGGTTTGGTTGAGAAAAAAACTCGACCCGGCTGTGTCTGTTCAGCCACCACGGATCATCTGAAGGAGTCAAGTTCAAAGGTCAAACAACAGGACCCGGACAGCTTTAGGAACCAAGTCCCAGCAAGCCTCCAAATGAACGTCAGAGCAGTTTAACTGAAATCTGAAACATCAAATCCGCTTTTCAAGCTTAACTCGGGCTTCTAGTCTTTGGAGATTTGTTATTCCAAACAGTTTGGATTGCATCGGATCTTCTTGTACATGTAATACATCTTCAGTAAGCCTCATAAGGTTTTTGAAAATCTTTTTTAGCTTTATATAATTCCAAATTTCTATGAGGAACACGTGTGACCCTATCCACTGCAGTAACAGGGTCCATCTGTGGACGGCTGTGGATCCACAGGTGGTTCCGAATACTTCACCACTACCTTTTTGTCATTTTGACACAACGCCTCCTAAACAACCCCTTTAAATGAATACTTGGATAGTTTGGCATTGAGCGTTGACCATCCTGAACTCTGAATCCATCTGTTTTCTTTATCATAGTCTTTTTCATGATACTCCATCCAGAATAACCTTGAGGTTAGACCCTTTTATGTGAAAAGTAGCTTGTAATTCTTCATTTGTCATGAAATCCGGTGCAGACATTCATATTTCTAACTGTGGCCCTTTGTCCTCTGATGGTCAAGATTAAGACTTAACAATCTGAAGCATCTTCTTTTAGTATATATGTTTGTGTTTTACAAATTAGCAAAATTTTCTATGCAAACAAACTTAAATTAAAAGTATGTTTAACTTCTGTAAAAACACAAGCTTAACAAAGACCTCACATATGCTCAATAGTTTAGTGCTATGCTAGCATTTCATGCTAGCATAAAACTAACACAATTTCATGTTCTAGTGACCAAAACAAATCATTTATCTGTAAGTGGGCCAAATATTATGTGTAGTTCCCTTGTAGTTCTTCACACTGTCTAATAAAAAGTTATCCTTTGGGACTAATTTCACTTCCCTACTTGTATTGACATTTGTTAGCTTGTTGTCATTTGATGAGTTGAAGCTTGTGCTATCCTAGCTTTACAGGAGACCCAAAATGCAGGTCAGGATATTCAGCAGTGTGTACTGGTTCTGAATTATTGAATGATTCTAGTTATTTGTTCATTTTGGTCGCTTAGCTCTTCTCAGAGAATCACAAGAAAGGATTTGACCCTGGACTCCTGCAGATAGAGAGACTTTTTACAGAAAGTTACAGAAGAACACGCAAGCATGAACACATAGACCCAGGTGGATAGTTGGAAATCATTTCTATCATATCAAACTCTGCATTTAAGATTAAACTGGTTACAAGGAGTGCTAGTGTTTGTTCTGTTATAACTTTCTGTCTGCAGTTTGATGTTGAAAGGCTCTCGGTTGGTGATATTTTAGAAGGACTGGGAAAATTTGCAAGCCTTCAACATGTGAATCTTCTCCTATAATTTGGATCTCTTGTTTTTCACGTTGCGGTGCAGCCTGACAGCTGGCTCTGTGTTCCTGTTGCCCGTCGCCGGTTGCGTTTCGTGTTCAGATTTCAAGCTGAATGAGTCCTGATCTGCTCAAAACTGCTAAAAACAAACAAAACCAGGAGCCGGTGGACGCACAGCAGCATCTTCCCCGTGTTTGCATTTTTTTTTTTGTGGGTTCAATTGCTCCGAAGATGAACTTTTTTTTTTTTTTTTCGTCTCCTTCTTGCAGCTGGTAACTGAGTTATGTTCCCTTGATTGTCTCTATAAAGTCTGAGACGACTCAGAGAAGGGTCCTTTGTCTGGTCTCTGCTCCAGCCCTTCTGGATTTTTCTCTTCCCATAAAAGCTTTGGAGTCTCTCCTCTTGTCAGAGGTCCCGGCGGTCTTACTTCACCAGTGGGATCGCGCCAACTGGAAATGTTCGCCGCGGTTTAGGGCTCTGGGAGATTTGTGGGCACTTTGATTCCAATAGAGAGCAGCACTTTGGGAAAGCGGCGGCGAGGGACCAGAGGAGGCCCGAGCTGTTATGATTATTGCCTTAATGAGGGAGGAGTTGAAAAAGAAGCCGATTGGAGGGAAGTCAGCCCGCTCGCACATTCATCACTCGTTAAACGTGTGAAGAGGGAGATGTATGACTCTTCAAACGGGCTACGCATAAGCTCCTTATAATCATTTCCTCATTTATTTCCCCGTAAGTCTGCTTTCCATTTTGAGTTGGTTTGCGTTTAGCTTTTGACGTATGATTTTAAAAAAAGGGATTTGTAACGGCGTTTGTGACTAATTGCTGGCGCTCACAGTGCCGCAGACCCTGGATCAGGTCTGTCTAACATGCATCTGAGCATCAGACTTCTTTTATCTTCATGTTTTTGTCAAATTTTTCTCCAGACCTAACTAAACTTGACCTCGTAAACAAGTTTCCCCACATACGCATTCTCATTGTGGTCCTATCAGATGTACTATAGTGATGAAAAACAAATACATCATCAAAAAATATGTGAGCATAACCACCCAACATAAGGACTTTAAACCACAATTAAGGAATCTGTTAAATAACTTTTTTGTAATCTTCAGTCCTTGTAGCTATCAGCCCTTTTAAAGACATGCTCAGTTTTTAATTTGTTACATTTATGCTCTGGTATTCAGTTTCTCATTGGGAAAACAGATGAGGCAGGGAGTGGTTAAGTTAGAAAAAAGCAGATCTTCACTTTTTTGCAATAAACAATAATTAGCTAAATCGATCAGAATCAGCCCAGATTTACTCTAATGTTACTTAAAAATGATCATCAGACTGGTAAAGTTGTGGTGTTTTTTTGTTTTGTTTTTACCAATCACTCAAACAACTTTCACATTGATCAAGCGTGAACTGTGTTTACAGTTTTTGAAAAAGATGGGTCCCAACAACTGAAGATGCATTAAATCTCTTCATGGAGATGCTTAAAACATTGGAGTGGGTTCCGGTATTTCCCTCATGTGGGTGTAAGCAGGCCTGACATGATGGAGGGTGTCGGTCAGACCTGAAGAGGAGTGCAAACCCAAATGTGTGCTGTTCTTTTTGAATTATTAGTTAATTTGATTCCCTTTTTTAATCAGTCCTTTTATTCTGATCAGTTTTCCTGTCAGTGCTGTCATCAAATGTGGAGTTTTTGACCTTTTGAATGTAACTTCTTATTTGTTCTTTTTTTTTAAAACAGCTTTTGTACCTATTTCCCATTTTGCTGAGGGACTGGGTTTTCTTTGAAAGGATTAAACATCCCCATTTCTAAATCAACTGTGGAATTTTTTCCAGCAGTCTTTCACAGACTGACAAAGCCCTCCAAATCGTTTCTCCTCAAACACTTCAGCCTGCTGGGGAAACTCTTTTTTCACACACTTTTGTGGCCTTTTGCAGCCCCTGTAGGAGCTCTGCAGGGATCCAGCTCTAAATAAGAAAATGTTTTAAGAGAAAAATACATTTCAACACGTGACACTTTTATACTTTTACCTATGTGGATGTTTGGGGTTCTTTGTTTTTCTTTGTTTTGTGCGTATCTCACCGTTTTTTCCTTTTGAATACACAAACAGGGGTTTTGTGGCCTTGTCATTGTGAGTCAACTGCAAGTGCAAAGTCATAAAGACACACACACACACACGCACACACACACACACACGTGTTGGACTCTCTTTTCTAACACTCCCTCAGCGTTACTAACAGCACCGGCTGAGTCCGGGATCAGGTGTCCACACCGTCCAGTGTTTGCGGCTGACCAGCGCTGTGATGTGGTCCGCGCACATCTGGGCTGCTCCGCAGCATGTAGAACAGCTGGAGGGAGCTTTGTTCGCCACTCGAGCTTCTGGCTTCTTGTAATCAGGCGTTTTTGTCCCTCTCCCGGTGTTATTAGGCTCCTGACTGAAGTCGGCAGCATTCCTGAGCGTGAAATGAAATTGCCAGGCAAGTCAGGTCTGATAGAAAGAATTTAAAGCAGGCCTCATATTTCAAGGCATATTTAGATGATATTAGAGTATTAGATGGAATAAATCCTGCCTGGAATGTGTGGCCCGGGGCTGCTTTTTTGGCTGAGGGGTTTTAGAAAATGCTTTCATTTCCGACACTTTATCCCTCGGAGTTCAGTGAAGTGGCGCTGGTTCTGTGTGAGGCGGAGAGCATCCTGCTGCCGTCAGCCAGACCTTCACACTTCCAGTTTTTTGGTGTTTGTTCAAGTCTCCTGTGGGAACAGAAACTCCCCCTTCAGATCTTAAAGTCGGCACGTAATCAGCTAATGAGAGAGGATAAATCCTCCTGTGGTGAAACTCTTTTATTCCCCCTCAGTGCGGTTACATGATTAAATGACTAAATTAGATCAACTGATCCCTTTAAAAAAAAAAAAGTCGGCATATAATTAGGGAGAGGGGAACTTCAAAATGGCTTTTCGTCTCATCTTGATAAACTTAATGATAATCTTAATGATCAGCTGTGCCGCATTTGTTGGACGGCGAGGACAAAAATTAAACCTAAAGTAAAATTGGTCCAATTAGTCTGTGGTTCCTGTATGTTTTCAAAGTTTTGAATGTCAGTAGTTTGGCCTTTCAGTGTAAGTACTTGTAGCATATTAGCTTTTCTCAGAAACATGGTCCGTCCAGTGAGTTCCTCAGGACAAACCTGCTCAGGTCCAGAGATTTGATAAACACACCTTCCCCCAAGTTGATTTTTTACCAACACTCGAGTGGTTTAAGAGGGAGAAAGAACATTTCCATGTGTCGAGTAGCTTTGCAATATATGTTTACCACTTGAAACGTAACTCGCTGTTGTTATTTTCCCCAACAGTCTGGGCTGATGGCTCCTCTCTCCACTACCCGGACCCCCACTCCAGCGGTCTCCCCCTCGAGAAGACCTTTGGCCGGTCCGTCAAAGTGTCCCAGTGCCAGCACATGCTGAAGCGCCTTCACAACGGAGCCCGGGTCACCGTGCAGATGCCCCCCAGCGTGGAGGGCCACTGGGTGTCCACCAGGTGCGCTAAAGAGTCTTTCCACCCTGGTGTTTCTTCCAGTATGTTTTGGAAGATAAAAATGTTTTCTGGCTGGTGCGTCGGCTGCAGAAAAACTGTGTTTAATGCAATTCGTGAACCAAAACGACTCAGTTTAGCCGATCAATTAACTGCGAGGAAGAAAGCATTGGTTCACTCGTCTCTTTAAACTCATAACAGCACAAAGAAACCCACGTTTCATGGAAATATATCGGTGCATCTTGAATTTGGAGCTTCCCCTCTTCAGTCTGTGAACATCTGGGAGCAGCTGGAGATGCAGGATTTTAGTGCTGATGATGAGTTCTTTATCTTGGGAGATGTAGCCTTCCTCCATCTCTGATTTAGCCTTCTCTAAGCTTTTTTCCGCTTTGTTTCAGTCCATTTTGAATTAGCGAGAAACTGGTCTGATCTGTTTTTCTTTTTTTTGAAAGCCGGGAGCAGAAACCAAACATTTCTGATGATCTGTTGTCCACAACTCCCGTTCTGTGTTGTGTTTCAGCTGCGAGGTGAGGCCGGGCCCGGAGTTCCTGACGCGCTCCTACAGGTTTTACCCCAACAACACCTTCCAGGCCCACCAGTTTTACTACGAGGACAATCACTGCACCAAACCCACCCACACGCTGGTGGTCCGCGGCCGGCTGCGCCTGCGCCAGGCCTCCTGGATCATCCGGGGGGGCACGGAGGCAGAGTACCAGCTCCACCACGTTCAGATCGTGTGCCACGCGGCGGCGGCGGTCAAGGAGCTGACCCAGAGGCTCGGCCACGGCTGCCGGGGGGCCATGAAGGGCCTCTGGGAGCCCGACGCGATCTACGACCTGTGGAACGAGGAGAGCAGCCACGACTGCTCCCGGGGGCTCAACTTCGCCATGCACGAGCTGCAGCTGCTGCGGGTGGAGAAGCAGTACCTGCACCACAACCTGGACCACCTGGTGGAGGAGCTGTTCCTGGGAGACATACACACCGAGCCGTCCCAGAGGTTGTACTACAAGCCCTCCAGCTACCAGACGGCCCTGCAGAACGCCAAGGTTTGTCTTTCTTTTCTCAAAGCAGACATGGCAGCCCTCTGATGGCTCCCTTAAGTTTTTCTACGACTGCTTATCTCCATGTTTGAAACTGGAAAAGAGGTATAGTCTTTCTAAATACTTCTAAACACTCACATGGTCACTCACAGGCCTCTGAAATCGGGTCATAAAAAACTCTCTGCTCCTTACCTTTTCTTAAAATGAATAAATGGCCAAGAGGTAAATGTCTGTGTTTATATTTTATATCAACAGACATAAATTACAATGTTGGAGCTGCATGGGAAAAAGTACCCCTACCTTCATTGTTTTCATAGTAATTATGATTTTAAGTAGCAGAGAGGAGCCAACAAACCAAGAGAAACTGATCATCAGAGCAGCAAATCTGCAACAGAAAGCCCAAAAAATAGAGTCTTTACAATAGCCCAGTCAGAGTCCAGACCTCAGCCCGGCTGAAAAGCTGTTTTGGGATCTTCAGAGAGCGCTGACAAGCCACAAAACGCAAACCCAGAAGTCCTGAGCTCTGAGGAGAGACACTGATAGCCGTGGTTTTACAAGCTGTGGAATCAGGAGATAGACTCAGATTATCACCCACTGCCGCCGCATTTTGCCTTAGTTTTAAATGAAATAAAAGCAAGCCCCGGGTCGTTGTTCATCTGAGCTTAAATCGAAGCGTTTAATTAACCTGCTGTCTGCTCTGGGTGGGCGGGGGGGGGGGGGGCGTCACAGAAAGTTACCTCCTGATGTGCAGCGGCCATAACTCCGGAGCTCGGGGATGAAGCCGGCTCCCACCCGCTGAATTGACATTTGTGTGCGTTGGAACGTGCGTACGGGTCAGAGACGGGTTTTATTTTCCGTCCCGGGCGTGCGACTCCAGCACAGCTGAGCTCCACTCCCACCGTGTTGACCCCCCTGACCCCAGAGACCACACACACACACACACACACATTGGCTGGTGCTCAAACTGACCTTAAAGAGTTTTAGGCATCAGGCCTGCACAACACTCTAAACAAAACGCTGCTTTTTTGTACCTCAGACTGAGTAACATGTGAAATAATGAAGAATAGAATCGACGTTCAACAACTGGAAAAGTGCTGTTTTATAGTTTTTTTTAATGACATCTGGGACAGTCTGTGTTCCTGAGGCCCTGAAAATCTGTCCCGTGGAACAAACGCTGATTTATCTGAATCGTGGCTGACCCAAATCGAACTCTAGATTCAACGTGTGTCTCGGTAAACTTGGCCCTATAGCCTTCCAGGCTGAACATTTGCATCACAGGAAACTGGAAACCCCTGTATGACTGATGCGATCTCCCAAGTCCAGCATTAGGAGAGAATCTTTTCTCCTCCACCGGGATGTAATTTCCCTGTTTATACGGCCGAACTGCAGCTTCCCCGCCGGCTTAAAACGCTCGGGCGATGTTTTCACTGTCACCCTCTACAGAGATTACACTGAAATCCGGTCAGGGTCTGCCGTCTAAATAAATATCCATTTGCTCCGGGACGGTGGAGTTGGGTATTGCTGATCAAAGTATAGACAAGCTCCCCCACGGGGCTGCAGTGACCAGAACCGCTCTCCTCTGGCCCCTCCGGCCCCTCCGGCCCGCGGAGCCACCATGTCCGACCGGGCCTATCTCTGGGAGCAATCAGCATGAGGTATTCCCAGAATTTGGAGTCCCGCAGCTGGATGAATTATTCCGTCCTGTGCATACCAGGTCTGGTTTCATGCATGCCTGAGGCTCGGCTCAAACTGTTGCGCGTGCTCCATCCCCAAGCATTTTTTACCATTTCTGAATAAAGAGGAAGTCGGGGTGTTGGTTGCACAGTAATCAGGTGCCACATTTGCACATTTACCCACTCGAACTAAAAAGTTCAGTTATTACTTTCTTCCAGCAATCACCATGGAAAGCTCGAGCAATTATCAAGTGAGAGTACAACTTGTTAAAAAATTTTTTTTAAAAAGGCAGGGCTCTGTTTTGGTGTTTTCAGACCCAGCCGTCGTATCCGAGATCCACTTTTAGATCACAATGCCATGGGAAAGGAGTTCTGTAACCCTCTGTAAACCAAGCCCACATTTGGTCAAAGCTCGCTAAATGCCTCATCCGCCCCTCATTTCATTACATTTTGATTCCAACCAGCTGGACTTTCTTATGATGTTTTGAAGTGGTCGTGAGCAGTTGTTCTCCCTGTTTACTGAAGGTCTGTTGAAGTTTCTGCTTTGGACGTTGCCAGCGTTTTCACTCGTTTTCTGTCTTTTTCGAGGTACCTGAACATTTTCACATTAATATTTTCAATTTTAATAGATTTTCAGAATCATTTAGGTACAAAACAGGCAAATAACCAAAATCAAGTTGATCTTTTGAACCTTTGCAGCACTTTGTTTGGCAGCTTGTGAAAGGAACATTTAATCTTTCCATATATGTAGCTTTATTTAGGGAAAATGCAATAGACCGTTCTGAAGTAGAAAATAAATTCAGCAAAGGCCTCATCAGAAATGCTCTGCATGGAAGGGTGGCTGTCAATAAGAGCTATAACTGCATATGTAATGTAAAAAAAAGTGAGTTTGCAAAACTGTAAAACCTTAATTTATGAATTCTCTTTACTAATCGGTCATCAAAGAGCTCAAAGACTCTCTCTGAGCTACACAAAAGCAGCTCAACTCAATCACCTTCTGAGGCATAAAGCTTTCTTTTTGTGGGGGTGTGGGGGGGGGTTACCACAGGGACTATCCAATCCATTAACTTTAAGTGCTGTACCCCGAGCTGGTCCCAGTCAGGAGCATTTGCTGGTGCCAGCATTCGCATTTGTGGTTACTGGGTGGGACTCACTCACAGTGATGCAATAGCAAAGTCGTATACTTTGTTTTTTAAGTGCGTTTCTTCCATTTCCCTTTCCCTGTCGAGTCTATGAAGCAGAGCAGCAGCAGCTTGGTAAAAAAACCCAATCTGTGTTTTAAGCGTCTTTATTTTTTTTTTGCTCAGGGAAATGTTGTCCACGGTTGTGTTTGTTTGTCGTCTTTTGTCGCCCGTCTGTGAACTCAGGGGACCTCTGTGAGAAGTGAAGCCCGCACCAGAACCAGATAAGACTTTTACTATGAATTCCTGGGTATCATCTTACAGGAGAGATGCCGGTGTAGCTCAAAGGATGAAAAAAAGAAGAACAAAAAAAGAATGGGTGGTTGGTTTCTCACCAGCAGGATTTAACTGAAGGGGTTCTGAAGCAGGCCGAGGTCTCTGCTGCTCAAATGTTTGCTCCTGGACCTCATAATTAAAGAAGCTGCCAAGAAAAGCTGATTTCAGGTCCACAACTAATTTGTCCATCACTTCTTCCCAGTGTAGTACGAAAAATTTAAGTAATTTATCTGAAACAAAGACGCTCTCATATTTCTTCCCTTTCCCCTAAATTCCGGTAAAGTTCCGCCTGGCTTCCCGAACGATGATGTTGAAGTTCTGGCTGGACCTTTTCACGGTCACAGAGGGATTTTCCCCCAAATGGACATAAATCAGTTACCTGATTAATCAGTTCGTACATAAACAGTTAACTTAATTTCCTTTAATAGCTGCTTTGGTCGTCGTTCAATCGAAAAAAAAATGTCCAGGCTGACATTTGCTGAATCCCATTTTAAATGCCGTTTAGAGATTGAATAAATGTCGCCACGGGCCTGCATAAATCTTTTTCTTTTCACGGTATTAAATAGTGAGCCGTATTAGTCCAGAGCTTTAAAGTCATTTATGGAAATAAAGCAATAACATGTCTAGTTCTAGGCAACGGTTTGATGCACTTGGTGAATTTAATGGTAGAATTTAACGGGAAATCTCCCCCAGCGACCCCTTTAGGGAATAAGCGGTAACGATAATGGATGGATGGGTGGATTTTAACTGGAAGTCCAAAAAGGGCCTAGGCTGCAAGGCAGTCAAGTGGGGAAAAACCGTGGACTGATGTCACACCAGAGCCTAACCCAGTAGTCAATGGACGAGAGGCGGGATACACAGAGACACACAAGGACAAACAACCACTCACACTCACTCCTAAGGGCAGTTCGAAATGTGCTAACCACCACACCACCGTGCTGCCCCGATTTGGCGCCATATAAATAAAATTGAATTGAGTTGAAGTGGAGAAGGGTGGGTTTCACGTCTTTTGAAGCGTTTGCTGGCTTTCCTGACTGCGTTGAATTTGTCTGGCTGTTTTTTGCACATGTGCAGTAGAAGGTTAATCCAGCAAAGAGTATTCCCACAGACAGGTGGTCTTGGGGCGGGTTGGGCGGGGGAGGGAGGAGCGCGGCCATAAAAACGCAGCTCCTCCTCCGGTCGCCCCGGCAAACTCCCGCTCCGAGGCGGTCATCTGCAGGATGTAGCGATAGTCACGCTCTTTTTTTCTCCTCCCTGTTTTCGAAATTCCGCATTTCTTTTCTTCCCCGGCTGCTTGTAAATTTGCGACGGAGTTGAGGAGGTCGACCGCCCTCAACTCCGCCGGCTCCCCCGAGCTTCGTCTTTGGATGAGGTTTGGTGAAATATCTTAGAGTCTTTTGTGTCCGGTCAGCCGGTCATCCAGCTGTCCTGCTGGTGGACTTATCGCCTGTTGATCCGCTGTGCCAGACCTGATTTGATTTTGGGATGATCAACTGTCACTTTTGGGTGATAAATGTGAACTATTGTGACTGGTGGGAGAAGCACAAAGCTCATGACCTCGGTTCGCCAAGACATCTGTCTTTTATTGATGCTCCTGCTCTGGGACTCTGTCCGGCCTCCGTCCGGCCTCTGAGTGGGACTCTGTCTGGGACTCTGTCCGACCTCTGTCCGGCCTCTCACGCGCCATGGACTCAATAGATTTCCCTGTTTGATATAGTTTAAACAGAGATGATGTTACATGTAACAGATCAGGCGTGACGCCTCTTTGTGTTGTTTTTTTTCTTCTTTTTCGCCCAACTCTCGCCATGGTGTGAACGTGCCCTTTCACAGGCTTTGAAAGTCCCAGATGCTAGCCTACAAAGTGCTTAAGGGTACGGCTCCCGTCTACTTGAACCCTCTTGCAAAGGCTTATGTCATAACTCGGTCACTCCGGTCATAAATAGATTGTGGTCTAGCAGTGCCTACACCACGCTTAAGACGATCCAGACTGTTTTTATGTGTTGTTCCAAGATGGTGGAATGTACTACCAAGTTCTGAAAGAGCAGCAGCATCCCTGTCTATCTTCAGGAAACTCTTAAAGACTCATCTCTTCAAAGAGCATCTTCTATCCTAACTCTTACCCATACCTCTATACCCCTTCTACTACTCTGTACTTCCCTCTCTCTCTTTGCTGTTTTCCTCTAGAGATCTTATGATAACTGTAACATTAGCGTCGGCTAAATGCATAAACATAAACATAACATAGACATAACGCAGTGGGCATTGGTTCCCATTTCGGTGGGGCTGACCGGAGCTGCGGGGGGAAGGGTGACGCAGCCGGACCCCCTCGTTCCGCGGCAGGGTCACTCAGCTGGTGTTTTTTTTCCGTTGGCTTCCAGAACCACGACCACGGCTGCATCGCCTGCCGCATCATCTACCGCTCGGACGAGTTCCACCCCCCCATCCTGCCCCCGCGGGCCGACCTGACGGTGGGGCTGTACGGCCAATGGGTGAGCCAGCGCTGCGAGGTGCGCCCCGAGGTGCTCTTCCTCACCCGCCACTTCGTCTTCCACGACAACAACCACACCTGGGAGGGCCACTACTACCACTACTCCGACCCCATCTGCAAGCACCCCACCTTCACCATCTACGCCCGGGGGCGCTACAGCCGGGGGCTTCACTCCACCCGCGTCATGGGCGGGACGGACTTCGTCTTCAAAGGTTGGCTTTCTGCAAAAAAAAACAGAAAACAGTGAATGTTTGAGCTGGAGCCCGTTGTGTTGTTCCCCCATGAAGCTGTTTACTGTCTATTTCTATCCATCCATTTTCATTTCCGCTTATGGGGTCACGGGGGGACCAGAGCCTAACCTAGTAGTCAATAGGCGAGAGGCGGGCTACACCCTGGACAGTCCGCCAATTCCATTGCAGGGCCACACAGAGACACACAAGGACAAACAACCACTCACACGCACACTCACTCCTAAGGGCAGTTTGGGATGTCCAATCAACCTAACATGCAGGTTTTTGGACGGTGGGAGGAAGCCAGAGAACCTGGAGAGAACCCACACAGACACAGGGAGAACATGCAAACTCCACACACAAAGGTCCTGGTTCCCCTAGGGACTCGAACCCACAGCCTTCTTGCTGTGAGACGATGGTGTTCACAACCACGCTGCCACCTTCTATTTCTGTCTTTAAAAAAAATGACATTTACTTTACATTTTTCCCAGACAAATATCCATAAAATGCCGTTTAATCAAATTCCACGTCCACTTGGGTCCCTGGAAAGAGGCTCAAGTGGACTTTTGTCGTGATGGAGGAGGAGAAAGTCGATCCTAAGGCACTGATCAGTTCCTAAAGCTTCTGTGTCTTTCTCCTCTCAGTGAACCACATGAGGGTGACCCCCATGGACGTGCCCACCACCTCCCTCCTGAACGTCTTCAACAGCGACGAGTGCGGCGTGCAGGGCTCCTGGCAGGTGGGGGTGGAGCAGGACGTGACGGCCACCGACGGCTGCATGGCCCTGGGCATCCGGCTGCCCCACACCGAGTACGAGGTCTTCCGCATGGAGCAGGACGCCCACGGCCGCTACCTGCTCTACAACGGCCAGCGCCCCAGCGACGGCTCCAGCCCCGACCGCCCGGAGAAGCGGGCCACCTCCTACCAGACGCCCCTGGTGCAGTGCTCCTCCAGCAGCCAGCGCCACGACCACGGCGGGGGGGGCGAGGGGGACGGGCCGGCGTCTCCCCACCGCAGCGGCGCCGGACGCTCGCCGGGGGCCCCGGCCGCCGTGGTCACCGCTCTGCTCCTCTGGTGGCACAGCTAGAGCCGCTCGGGCTTTTCTCTACACGGCCGGACAGACGTGTGGATTTACCTAAAGGACTACAGACTGAGAGGGGAAAAAAAAGAAACTTTTCTCCCCTTTCTGTGCAAAAAGGAGAAGGGGAACTCCTTTCCAGCTGCCAAAGACTGCCGCACGGCAGAAACTGCACTTTAGAGTGGAAGCACCTGTCCGCGGTTTCACGAGTATATAAAGATGGTGTATTAACCTGCAACGATCACATCCTGGTTTCATACTGTAAAAAGACGCAATTTCATGCGCGAAACATTTTTTACAGTGTAATCCTCTGACTTTCTCATCTTGAGGAGAAATTCATGAGAGTCGCAGTTAAAAAAGAAAAGAAAAAAACAGCTGCTGCGCTCATGTTTTCTACCGCCTTAAAGTACAGTGAACTCACCGGGAGGTTTTAGACCTCTCTTCCAAATAAAAATCACACTTTTTTTTTCAAATAATAAAGTACAAGTCTTTCATGTGCAGTCATCCTTTGTGGACTCTGGAGGGAGATGTTTATTCCCTCACCGCTCCACCAGCTGCATCCTCGCCGGCCAACTGGTGACTTCCACTCCAGCGAGGCACTGTGAGAGGATGCGCGCCTCAGGGTGGGAAAGCGCACCTGGAAACTTGACATAAACACGCATACTCTCAACAATTAAAGAGTTCAGTCACACTGTCGCCTGTCTCCGGTCGTCCAAGTCTTTGCTTTGTCTACATAACTGGGCTCCAGTCTCTGGTTTGTCCGGTGAACGTTTCAGCGTTCAACAAATGAGACTCGGAGTCCACACAAATGTCCAAAATAATGATTTAAAAGGAAAAACAAATTTTCTTTATTATTTCTAGATATGGAGATGTTATTATCTCTGTGTGCATAACAGCTAAATTGAATTACTTTTGGAAAATTGACATTTCCATCTTTTTTTATTACATTTACTTTTTTCCCACACTTTTAGTTTTTTTGCTGCTTTTTTTGGGAAACTGGGCTTTCAATAAAAATAAGTATAGAAAAACACCAAAAAGGAAATGAGAACAATGTAGAGTTGAACAGTACTGGTATGTTTGAGTAAAACAAATCCATATTGGATGCATAAAGGTAAGTCTTAAGAACCCTTTTATGAATATATACACATTTACAATGTAAGTCTGCCCAAAACAGCATATTGAAGCACAACTTAGACACCCATTGGTGGGTTCGATGCACATTGCATTTCCAACGGCCATTTTTTTTCTCCACTGGATACACAGAAGCAAACGTTGGTGACGATATAAGACCATCTCGACAAAACTTCCAAACTTCCTTCCTGACTGTTGTCCTCTGAGAACAAAGTTTGAAAACTATCCGGCTACTAGGCCTCTCGGAGAGGAGCTCATTAAGAGCTTTCAGGACCAGGGACAGCACACTGAAGGGGTCGGACGTCTGTGAAACTCTGTTGTTAGTGCGGCCTTCTGCCTTTTGGATGACCAGTCCATTCACTGGACGACCACCTTCCCTTTGGAAAAATGTTCCAAAAGCAGAATAAAAGACCGGATACCTTTACCTGTAACTTGGGTCAGAGTGCCTGCAGGCCTAAATTAATATGTGGTGGATTAATATATCATAACACATATATACACATTTGGTTTGATCAGATTAAACTAAATATTACTTTAAAACTGGATAAAAGTGAAAGCTTAAACTTTGCAGATGCTCTTTTGTTAGGCAACATTCGTGCACGCGCTAAAATGTTGAGCAGGAAACACACTTGTGTTTATTGAGCTCAACAGAGTTCCAAACGCGCCTTTTCTTTATGGGTTCGTGGAGTCTGTTGGAGAGACACGAACGCAGCCAAGAACTCGCGCAGATGCAACAGTTGACCTCCCGGATGGACCGCTTGGATCAGAAACCCCCATTTTGTCACGCTCGCTGAACGGAAGGAGTCATTGTGAAGGTTTTGGCATCATTTAAACGTCGAGCAGCCGCTCCTGATCGATCACATCCCAGACAATGCCTGACAGAGCTCATCTCTGTTTCTCTCTTTATGAATTTGATTTAAATCATTCTATAGAATTCCGGTCAAAGTATCTGAACTTTCCCTCGATTCTGTCTAATGAAGTTTGTCATTAAACGCCATTAACTGTTTGGTAGATAATAGAAAAGTGGCCTTTTGTTAAACATGACAGTGTTCACTTGAATATTTTTTACTTTTTGGAAACACTTTGCCTTCAGGAAAACTTTGTTGCATCTTGGGAAATGTTTCCTATAATAAAATAGGAATATTTTGCAGCTCTCTGAAGCATTTTGTGGAATGCCGTTGTCCCATATGAACTTCTGTTTCTCAACGTTTCATATGTGCACAGTCCTTTCGGTACCATGAAAATCCAGTTTGAGCCGGACTCCGCACAGCCCCAGCTTAACGGAGGAAAAGCCCCCCAGTTCGACCACCTTTTCCTACAACAGGAACCGTTCCGACTTCACGGTTTGATAAGATGATAGAGGGTTTCGGTTTCGTGGAAAATTACCCCGTTTGCTAATCAGGCTCTGCACCGTTTTCATCATCAGGCTGAGATTAGTCACGTTCGGGGACTGAAAGACCACAAAGCGGTTTGGTCACGCCGAGCATTGTAATGCACCGGAGTTCAGGAAAAAATCAAAATGAGGAGCGGGAAACTGCTGAACAGCGAAAGCTTTCCATTCCACAATAGATCCCAAACTTCCCCCCCGTGTGGTCGGGTTTGTCCAGCCCAAAGCCGCTCCTGGAGACGAATTTCCCCCACGGCCTGAGCATCGAAGCTGATTTGCTTTAAGAAATTAACTTTACGAGGCATCTTTCAAAATAAATACACAGGAAAAAGACGGCTATGAAAACAATTTTTTCATTTTTATTGTCATTAATATCATGGAACAAGATTTTAAGAATGGAAACCTTATTTCAGTCAATATATGCCTCAAGAGGAATATGTGTAAATAATAATAATAATAATAATAATTAGAATAATGTTTCCGTTGGTGTTGTGAGGAGAAGGACAGGACAAATGTACAAGAAGGAGGCACCTATGTCCCCAGCTGGACCTGAACATTCCAACACAAGAAGTAGAAATTACAAACAAATTTACTTCAGAGGCAATCCAGCAACAGGTAGCAAGGGTGTTTTAAATGGAAGTTCTGTCCTCTTCTGTTTAAAAGGATTTAAAATAACATTAACAAGACATCTAACATTCCATTCAATTCCTATTAAAACAATAGAGAGAGAGAAAGGGGGGGTGGGGGGGTGAATCAGATGTTTTAACTGCCAGCGGTTGACAGTAGGTGCATCCTCCACTGTCCCATCACCTGTGTGATCCAAAACCAGAAACCAAAAAGGGAGGGAGGGGGGAGGAGGGGGGGGGTAAACGCTTCTCTGTCGCCTTTCTTAGCTCTGAGCCCACTAACTGTGTGCGATTGTAAAAAGGCGGCGCCTTCGAATGATGCTGTACAGATGTGTTGTTCACGGGAGGCCACACTACCAATGATATGGCAAAGTCAAGAGACTGGTGGGGTTTTCCAGGCCTTTTTCTCTTTTTTTATTTTTTTTCAATTCTGGAGCCAGAGCGAGAGGGTTGGGGGGTGGGGGGGGGGGGGGGGGGGGGCGGAGGATACGGCCAGCATGCATCTCCCAGTCTACAAGATGAACTTCCCCAAGAAAAATCCAATGAAAATGGCTGCTATGACGACGAGGAGGGAGGGCAGAAAGGCGGCGCTGGATTCCCGGCCCAGGAGGTTATTGGAGTTTGGCGTCCTGTGGTCTGGGCGGGCCATCTTTCTAATTCCGACTCCATCGTCCTGCTAAAAGAAGGAACAGGAAGTGTTTGGGAGCATCGACAGGAGAGAACTTCCGTTCAACCGCCACCGCGGGCGCCATGATTCAGACTCATCTCTGCGACAACAACCAGCCTCCTAACGTTAACCTGAGCGACTCGGCTCACCTTTAATTGCCGGTTCTCGTCGGCCAGCTTGTTGTTCTCGGCCTGCAGCCTCTTGTACTTCTCCAGGAGTTTCTTCATCTCCGACTCGTCGCCCGTGGCGCCGGGAGCGGCGGCCGCCGTCGACTCGGCCTTCACCGAGTTCATCACCGGGGCCGATCTGCTGGCGTCCACGTCGTTCTGCCGGTCAGAGGGAGGGAGAGCAGGACTGAGAGCAGACCCAGAACACCGGGGGGGGGGGGCCGGCCCTGTGCTTTTTTACCTCCCCCCCAGTCAACATTTGGTGCCGTTAGGGCGGGACAGTGTGCGTGTGAACGGGCGCCTCTTACCACTTTATCGTTTTCAGATGGCAGCTCGAACACGCATCTCAGCTTGGAATCCATGAGATCATCGGGCTTCGCATCTTTCCACTGGTGGGGAGGAGAAACGGACAAGTCACTCGTCAAGTCAAAGCGTTAGCAGATGCACCCGTTTGTGTGCACGTGTGTGTGTGCACGCCCCTTCACACCATGCAGAGATTCCACAGGCATCAGAAATACTTCCTCATTTACCTCCGCCTCATTCAGACATTTGGATCCGTTTCTAAACTCTTAGAGGGCCCAGAGGAGGAGGAGTGATTAGCTAGAGGGGCGGAGCTACACGCAGCGGTAAGTGCTCCGGTTCTGCTGGGGTCCGTGGGAGCTCACTGTGTGTGTTAGCCGGCCGCTGAGCACAGGGGCAGCTGTGTGTGAGCTCTGCTGGCAGAGCGAGCAGCTCCTGACCTCTGCTGGACGGCGGGGGAACACAGGGGCCCTTTCAGGCCGCTGCAGCCCGGCTCAGAGAAGTCTTTGTTGTACAGTCCATTTAAATGTATAACGAAAAGCGGGCCGGGTTCGTTTCAGTTTTACTTATTAGAGGATCACGTGGGAGCCGGTTTGAGCGACGATACTGCTTGTGCTGAGCGTTGCTCTGCGAAAACAACTCCAGCACAGAGGAGCGACAGAGCCAGCAGCCAGTTCTGCGGCACGCAACGGAAAAATCAGACGGCCAGGGCCTCAAAACGCCTCCTTCAGATTCAAGTCTGGTGGGAACAGGAGCTGAACTGCTAAATGTTTGGCTCATTTTCACTTTAAGGGAGAAAAAAATTACATATTTTATCCATCATTCTTTTTTTCCACTTTTCCAATCAAACGATGAATATCTCCAATTGGAGTCCATCCCACTTATGCATGTTTAAAGGACGTACACACACTTTGATTACAATAGATACATATGAAATAACTTACCAAGCAATCCATATCCGTGACATTTGACGGTGCAAAAATGGTCTGCACCATGAATTTATGTTTGCTCTTCTCATTGGGGTCGTATTCAAAGGGCTGAAGCATAACTGTGGATGAAGCAGAAAAACACAATGATGAAAACGTTAGAGGTTTTTACTACTTCCACTTCACATGTAGCACGGTGAACTCCCAAAAAGACGGGGCCCGAAGTGAGCTTAGAGACTTGAAACCACCTGAGAATCGACAGTAAGCGGCTGTAAAGGACGGCCACAGAAAAGCCGCCTCCGTTTCTCACACGCAGACCTGAAAGTCTCCACTTCAGCAAGAACTGGGACCTATACAAAAAAACCTGAGAAGAGCCTTAGACCAGCAGTGGAGTTCAGTGAGGGGCCGCCATTCCACACACAAAGTGGGCTTCAGAGTCCTCTTTTCACCCACTTTAATGAAGATTAATGAAACGAAAAGGTTTGAACACCCAAATAAAAATATTAAAATAAGTTTTTCGTAATCGATAATCCTCTATCATTCCTCTTCACATTATGTCTCCGAATCAGAACTGGAAGCCTTTCAAATTCCACTAGAGTAGTCTGTTGGTGTTGGTCTGTTTGGAAATGTCTGAGAGTGGGAGCCTCCCCACTGCGGGGCTCACCTCGGAGCAGAGCCGCCACAAACGGGGAAATCGAGCTGAATAGAACAGCAGTGTTCACTTTATTCATGACGCCCATTTAAACACAGACATCCAGCTGGAAATGGCACGACTTTCCGAAAAGGAGCAGTCAGCATGTGGAGGACCTCAGCCTTCCAGCTGGAGTAAATCCGCATGAAGAGAACAGAAAGAAAATACCCCCTGCCTCTCTGCGTCTCTGTATCTGCAGGGTAAAAGTATACTTTTTTATATTTTGAATTTTATTCCTCCTTCACATTTCTCATGTTTTTGCTAAATTGTGTCATGTCCTATCCAGTTTTGAGAGGATGTCATTTGCTTTCCAAATCTAATTGTGTGAACTGTTATTGCTAAAATAATTGTTCACTTAGTGCGATGCTCTTTCCAGATTCTCAAAGGAAATGGGTCTAATGGGTGAAAAGAGGTTCCTGGACGCGCCGATATGGGCTGAGGCTGAAAACATTCACAGACAACTCGTTTAAATCATTTTCCCTTTTCTCTAAGAAAGATTAGAAAGGAACCACTTCCAAACCCGCCGTTTCAGTGGGTGGCATCTTATGAAAACCAGACTGAAACTGTTAAAAAATTATATTTCTTAAGAAAAATATACTCTTTTTGGGTGAGTGGGTTTCTCCAGGAAACAGCTGGAAACAGAAGGATCTGAAATGACAGATCTAAGATTCCCACCATTCCAGGAACGATTTAGTCAGAGCGAGGAAAAGAGAAAAGAAAACCCATTACAGATCGAGAGGAATCGTTTTACCTCAGCTGGGAGACAGCAGGAAGATGGAGACGTGTCAGCGGAGGAATTCATTGTGCAATTTGTGTGATGGCAAGAAATTAACTCACTTTTTCTAATCTTTCTCAGAAAGAAAGCAAAAAGCACTTTCAGGAGAACACAAAGCTGCCGGCAGCTGGGGCCGCGAATTCAATCAAATTCTGTTATTTCCCGTTTAAATGTGAGCTTTTTGTATTGTGTTCAGCACACCTTTGTCTTCCCCACTGACCCAAACTGCCAGCCGGGCGCGGCACTGAGCGGCAGCCACTGCTCCTAAAGAAAGTATTTCTACCATTTCAGATATTAGCTTACATTTTGGTGTCAGGGACAATGCAACAAAAAATCCCCAAGTGACAACCTCGGTGTTGAGCGAAACAAATAACGGAGATAATGGAGATTTTCACAAAACGACCACCACTGGCCGCGCACTTTACAGAGGGAGCCAACAACGGGCTTTTCCCCTCATCCTTTCCTTTAATCTGTTCAACGTCCTTTTCTCCAAAACTGGACTTATCAGTAGTAGACAGCCGATTGCTGTGATTGGCTGGCTGGCTTAGCAAATGAATGGCCGATAGGCGCAGTGGCAGTGATGACAGAGAGGCTGTCGGTCTCCATCTCTTTATAACAAGCAACATTTTTTTTTTTTTTTAAACAAAAGAGAAACTTTAAGAGTTTCAAATGTTCAGAGTTACTTCCTCTTGCACAGGACGCAGTTTGTGTGTCCGCTCATGCTCACCAGTACATGAGGGCTCACCGGGCCCCTCTGGGGCTACTTTTAGAAAAGCCTCGGGTGGGTCAAATAACGGCCTGCGTGCACCGAACCCGCAGCATATATATCCACCTGGACCAGTGTTCAGCACCGCGGCCTAAAAAGAGCATGAGCGGAGCATCGACGGGGAGCACAGAGCGACCACGCGGCGTCGGATGAGCCCAAACCAACACCAACAGATTACAGTAGAACCTCCACTTACGATTGCCTAAACATACAAATTTTCCAACATATGAAGTGAAATCCTTTTTATCAATTATTTCTTTATAATTTAATTCTTTTTACATCTCTTTTATATGATGCATTTGTTTCATAGCTATGTGTAATTATCTGCAGTATCTATTTTTAGTATTTATTGTAGTTTTTTAGGCTGTGAAACGAATTACAGTATATGCTTATGTGAATATTTGAACCAACATACAAATATTTTAAGATACGAAGGAGGTCCCAGAACAAATTAAATTCATATGTAGAGGTTCTAATGTAGTTTGCCTCCTGTGCTGCTGTAACAGAGTGTTTATCCCTTTTTGCCCAAAAATGTCCAGACGGAGTCCCTGTTGGGATGGAATCAGGTAAAGAACTGATCACAGGACATTTCACATTCTGTGGGTTGTGGCTGGGATTTACAGGCGATACTTCCCTCCATGTTTCTCATTCAGCACCTAAGAGTGTCACAAATAACAACCCCCCCACCCCACCCCACCGGTGAAGCCTCACCAGAGATGATGACGGCGGAGCCGGCGTCGATGACTCCGCTGTTTGGCCGTACGCAGTACCGGCGGGGGGCCGTCGTCTTCACTTTGAAACACACTCTTCTGTCAGAGGGGTTCTTCAGTTTGAGGTTGGTGGTGACTACATCTGTGAAAGGACCTGGTGGGCAGAGAACAACCGACGGGTTAGTTTTTATGTGTCAGCGCACGGCCGCTGCCGCCGGGCTGACGGGGGACGCTGACACCACCTGCTGCTGCACCGAGCTTTCAGGGACGGCAAACGTCCAGGTGAGAGAGGGAGCAGAGGCTAAACCGGCCGTGAGACACGCGCTCCTTCAAAAGGCGATTTTCCTCCTTTTTTTCCCCATTTTGCCCGGGCTTAGAAGAAACTTTAAAGCGATTAGCAACAAAAAAAAACACTGAAGGGAAACTCAATTTGCCCGACGTGATTAGACAGTCTGATTCAATACGGGCCACTTTGCTGACTTGAGGCCGAGCTGCAGGAAAGTTTTAGCATTTCTAATGAACCTGAGCACCCGTGAGCGGAACGCTCACTATGACTGAGAGCTGACACATTCAGATACACCTCACTCGAAACAAGTCTTCTGATGCTAAAAACATGCACAAAAAAAACAACAAATTAATATTATCTCGCCCCATTGATGGAAAGCATCACTATCTACAGATCTGGGCCTTGGCGTTGGCATTCAGAACAACCTTGAAATGGTTGCTGACATACGTCTCCAGCTGTGCCAAACCACCTGAGCCAATTACCTTTTCCTCCCGACAGATAATTTCATATGGCCGTCCCATGATGATATTGGGGAATTAGGCTCCTTCTCTGGTCAGGTCATATATCAGGAGATCCGGGGTTACATAACCGCGCTCCATCTTGTGACCGAGCTCGCTTCGAATTAGGTCCTTAACCAGGGTCAGCACCGTCCAGCTTTGATCGTGCATGTCATGTAGAAAACACAACTTTATGCCAATTCAGCGGTACCCCAAACTCAATCACGGCAATTAGTCTGGGAGCCTGAGCAAAATAACTCATGTCATGATGCAAACTTATCCGCCGTCAGGCTTCATGGCAATATCGCTGGGAGTTATGGTTGTTTTTACACACAGCGATATCTGAAAAATGCTAAAGTTGATCTTGCATGTAAAGGAAAAAAAAGAAAAAGAAAAATGAGCGTGACGGGGCAGCCTCCAAGCGCTCGGACCTTGAGTAAGTCCCTGAAAAGTCAGGCATAATCATCCTGTTTGGGATCAAATGTGCAGGTTCAGCTTGGCCCTTATCAAACGGACAGCCTAACCCATTTGTGACGGCTCAGATTTATCATTTACTGAAGAACAAAAAATGGCGTTTCACCCAAATTGATTTCCGTTAGAAAAAAAACAAACAGACTCTTTGGTCTGGCTCCTAACCAGAGGAACGGGTTTCACTCTCTGTGGAAACTGCTGTTGGCAGTTTGTCTTTACTCAAATAAAAACATGTCAGTGAGGTTACGTGACTGAATTTAATATGCACAGAACATAGATGATTTTTCCACTGATGAGCAGATGCACTAAATGTGTGCATGACATGAGACACATCGGGCCAAAAACGTAGAAAAAACTGGGCAAACCCAAACTAACGACGTGGCGTTAATCCTCTGGGTCCCCCAGTCAATAATGTTGGATTATTTGCTTTAAAATGCTCCCACAGACAGCTTTCTACACACGTTTTTTCATCTTAAACGCTGACACCCCTGTTGGAGACCTTGGGTCAGCATTTAGACACCCTCCCACCCCCTTGCCAGATCTGCTCCCTCACTTCAACAGCTCCAGTCAAAAAGGACACTTTTCTCAGTCTTCCTCTGGAGCAATTTCAAATTATTTGCTGATTTTGTTTTAATCAAAACCATTATTTTACTTAATTTCTTATGCACTTAGCATCACTTCTTTATATTCAGCGAGGCACTTGGGTCATTTTCAAATCAAACGTACTGAAGGTTATGGTGGAATCAAATATTGTTCTGTCAAAGACGTGCACGTCACACCAAAATGGAGCTCAAGTTTAAACAGAACATATCATTTTCTTTTCAGGTAAAACTAATAAGCCAGTTTGTTTTTAGATCTGAATGAACTTATTTTTCTATTTACTGGTGACAAACTTCACTTACGAACACAAATAGTTTGACCGGAAATGTAAACGTTCTCCCTCTGGTCTATGGCAGAGTTTGCACGGTCCACATATAGCCTTTGTTCACACTCATTAACCCGGAGATAAGACGCAGGCCATGGCTGCAGAGGTTTCACCCAAACACAGATAGTTGTGCCCATGACTAAGGCGTCGCTACCAACAGGTGCGGAACGACAGCATTCCTACAGACCTGAAAAGCTTCATTCTGGTCATGGTCTGACTGCATGCGACATCTTGCTCAACAGTGTGTTTTTAATACCTACAGTTTCAGTGTACGATTACAAGAGGTGACACATAAAGGAGGCATTTCAATGGCATTTTATTGGCATAAATTAGGTTAAAACATTTCACGCTGTAATCTATAACTATTTCAATCTGATTTATCACGGCCATTTGTCTCAACATACACCTTCTGATTCCTCACAAATCTACACCCAAATGAAAAACTGAACTAATCTCATCACTGAAGCAACTAAAAGGAATTTTTCTACATCTGATAAATGAAGTCATCTAAATGGAATTTAGTATAGGTCAAAAGTATAGGCTGTAAACACAGTCCGTCAGTTGTCTGCCATCATCCATCATGCCTGAGCCTCCTTTCAGAGGCACAAATAAGAGACAGGGTGCTTGTAAAGGGAGTTTGAAGTCCTGATGAAATTGAGTTACTAAAGCCTCTTTAAATAAAGTTTAAATAAGGACACGCTCATTGTTTTGACATCATGGAATTTGAGGCTGACAGAGCAGCGTTTCGGCCCCCTGTTTCTGAGACTGCTGGCATACTTAGGCCTGCACCAAATGGAATAAAACACAGGGAAACAGCTGCTGGCATCAGCTGCACGCCCACAGAGCCCACATCCAGGGCCTGCCTCTGAGATGCCACCCCTGCTCGTACAGCGCTCCCTCCAGCTCTCTCATCCTGCAGCATGTATGCTGTCAGGGTCCCCCAGGCCTGTCCTGGGCTAAAAATACCAGCCAGGGAGAGCAGGGCTGCCCCCTCTGGCTCGCTGGAGGGATCCCAACAGACACTCCAAAACAGCCCAGGTCTGGCATACACGCAGACCGATTTAGCTCGGTCTCAGTGACGGTAAAAGAAGCAGGGGCTGTCTTCACCTCCCTCCTGTTGCCTCTCAACATCAGGGCGGGGGCTTATTTTTCGGCCTGCTCCTATGAAACAGCCACAAAAAATAAAAAATAAAATAAAAACGCCCCTTCTTTTTGATCAAGCACTTCAGATTAGATTTTCCTGGCCTAACATTTAATTTGATGGAGGTTATGGGAGGGTTTGCCAAAGGTGGATCAATACAGACCAAACCTCTACATAAAAGAGGTTAAAAATCCCAGTTATCTGATTTGTAAGCTACATTAATATTGCATTAGATCAGCTCCATCCAAGGGAAAATGCAAACATATTTGGAAGTGTTGGGCTATTATTTCCCCCCCCCCCATCTCAAACTTTAAGGCGCTAACACTGACATTTTCTACATGTTTTACCCTAAATTGAACAGGACGGTGTGATGGAATGCCTGTGAATTGATTATAGCCCGCGTAAACCTCACCACTGTCATACCAATGCAATTTAGCCGTTCATCCACTTCAGTTTACAAAGACCAAAAGGTTAACCTGATGAGGGGAAAATGTAAATCTTGTGATCAGTAATCAAAATAAGTTGAATTACAGCAGAAATTCTAAAATCGGGTAAAATATGGTGGTTCATGATCAGATTATGATGGGCCGTGTCTATGCCAGTGGGTCAATTTAAGGCTCAGCTGAAACCATTCACTTGTTTAGTTGGCCTTAACTCTTGACCTCCTTTTCAAAACCCTTTATGTGGTCAATATAACCCAAATAGATCCCTCCTGTTGATTTTTTAAAACAATTTAACTGAGTGACTTGATTAATAGAGCACCATCAACCTGCTGTGCAGACAAAGTGCAAGCTTTAAACGGAGGCTTAACTCAGTAATGTTAATGACAAGCCTCTGCAAACTGTGGTATACCTCACCTTGAAAACAAGTTTAATTGATTTGTATTCTCATCCCTGTGGAGACTGTTACTCAAAGATAGAAGGGCTCAGTTCACTTTCACAAGTTTCTATGCGGGTTTTACACCGAGTTTCAGTGTAAAACCTGCATAGAAACTTGTTTCTTTTTGTTACTTTTGCTAGAAAAAGCAGTAATGGTCATAAATTTAATCAGCTGGAAGCTGTCTTTTTTACAGACTGTGGCATCCTCAGCTGCAGGCTCTGAAACATCTCCACAGCTGGACCCTGTGGCTCTGGTTTGTCCAAACTCTCAGACTCAAACAAGAAGCAATGCCCACCAACGCCTGGACTCACCCACAGGTGGTATTCCTCTGGCCAATTACAACTATTCAAGCTAACAGAGATACACTATAAACAGCTGCATGAGACTTTTGAAGTGTCTTTTTCCCAGCCCTCCTTACATGTTCTCTCTTTCCGGGTGAATAGTGATAGTTGATGAGTTCAAGGTAGCAAACTTCTGAGGAAAGCCCCACGTGTTTTAAAGATAGCACACTAATATTAAAGAAAAAACAGCCAGGACACTGTGTAGAGACTTTTAAGACTTTAAAGTCAAACTAAAGGAGAGTGAGTGGTGAGTAAAACACATAAGCAGTTACGATAATGGATGGATGTGTGTGTGTGTGTGCTTACACATACAGTAGGAGCATGAGAGCCTCTTTTAGTGCGTTTATCACCGATCAATAAAAAATGTGGCGATCACAGCCAGATTACTGACCGAGACAAATGCTTAAAAAGCAGAAAATAAATCCAGGGGCAGAAATAGTGATGAGGACAACGAGCTGTGCTGTTGTGTGGGTACTTTTCCCCATTTCTGTGGGTTATGGGCTGAACTCAGTCCACTTTGCTGCCACTTTGTCACGGTCACTTGTTCACCACAGCAACAGTTGGGTTCAGGCTGATGCCCCTGAGTGGCGCTAAACGTTAGACCTTTTTTAAAAATGATTTTCCAAAACTCACAAGTCTGCACGATTTAACACAACTCTGCTCCCGGAGGGAAGCTAATAATGTAGCAGGCTAGCCTGGCTATCCAATCGTTAGCCAACTGCTCACTGACACATCATTGAGTCTTATCTCTGCCAGGAAAGCAATCAGTGGCACTGGAGCCAGCGGGTCTCTTTGGTTTCAAATGAACGTGTTGCTGTATTTGTGCCACTACCCGTGACACGTTAACACGTTTTAAACGATCTCATCTAACCTGCGACTGACGTTAGCGCAGTGCTACTAATAAGATCTGTTTTCGTGTTGACGTTACAGATAGTTAGCCAAGTTTGTCATTTGGCTGTCCGTCTGAGGGGAAGCCTCACACTGAGAGCTACCGGCCTTTAAACGTGTCAGTCTGTGCGTTATGTGCTGCCACAAAGTTCCCCTCTGCAGTGGGGATTTTCAGGGCTGAGTACCCCCCCCACCCACCCACCAAGGCACGAACAGTTTACTGGTATTAACACTGGTGGGACCAGCGTAGTAGCAAAATGCTACAACTTCAGTGAATACGCTGAATACACTTCTGCTCGGGGTTGTTTTAACTCCGTCTGACAGCCTCTGGCCGGGGACCAGCAGCCTTTAATTTACTTGGTGTTGTCAGGGAGCCTGGTCACGAATGGCGGGCCGTCGACGTGGAACGCCACGCCGGCTTCCCACGTCACTCCAGTCCGGGGCTCCGGCGGCCCGTGCTTTTCCCTGGCTAACTTAAAATGGCGGTGAATGCTAGCTAGCCCGCTAGCGGCGAAATTGACTTGAGGGAGCGTGAATCGCTTCTCGGTCAGGTAAGACTTCGCCGCCTCTCGCCGGGACGCTGCCCCGCGCCCAAACGTTTCCGTTCACCTACCTTTAAATCTGAGGTCGGAGGGGGGGTCGAGGACGAGGACCTGATCCAACTTGGACATCTTAACCGAGGGGGGATGTAGTTGGTTGTCGGTGCCGGGGACTGACAAGTGGAAATCCTGGATCCCCTGCCGCTACCGAGTCAAACGCTGACTGAGCTCTGCGAGAGAAGGAGCATGTGTGTAAAAATACTTGGACGCGCGAGAGCACGGCCCCGCGCAGCGTCCTCGTGGCTCCGTAACTGATGAGATTATACTACATTAAACTCGTTATACTTGTACACAGGAATACTTGGCAGGAGGAACATCTGATAAAAAACCGACAAGAGTCCCAGTGTGACCCGCGCAAAGTGAAATGCGGCTCGGCTCGTCTGTTTGCGGAGGAAATGCCATCAACGCACCATCTCAGCCAGTTTGGAGGATAAATAAGTTGGCAAAATCATGAGGGGGGACGGCATAATTACGGCTCCATCCAAATGATCAGATTTGATCTCTTAATTGCGACTTCCTATCGCATCAGCGTATCTCATCGCATCATAACTCAATGTTTCACTTCTCCCATATTACAGAGAAAATAAGCTCCAATTCAAGATATTCTCTCATACCAGTTTTTCATTCATTTAAATTTTAGAAAAGTTCGCAAAGATGTACTTGTGCCTCATACTACCTTGAAAATTGACATTAAAATTACTAATCAATGATCTATAAGTTACACTTTTCCTCTAAAAGTTTGATGGAATTTCAAATATATATTTTTGTATCTATAATTTATTTATTCCAACCTACATAAGATAGAATCATATAAATTGGAGACAACATATAACTTTGGAGCACAAGTGAAAACCCACAGATTCAGTTTAGAAAATTGGTTTTATTCATCTGATTACTGTAAAACAGTTAAGGGTATCGGTTTAATTGCAAATTACTCCTCTTTTTCATGGGAATCTGTAAAGTTTCAACCTAATCCAGCAAAAAATAAGCAATTAGAGAAGCTAAGAGATAAGAAAAGAATTAGAAACACTTTTTACTGGGGTAAAATGCAAAAAAAAGGGTTGTTTTTAGCCCAGACACGCAATATCACAGGATCTCAGGTAGATGAGAGAAAATGTAATGTTATGAATAAAACCAGTATTCCCTAGGAGAGGAAAGAGGCACAACGCGACTATGGAATATACCACCCTCGCATGTCCAGGCTGAGGGTGCCTCTGATCCCGCCTTAAAGGCAAATAACGTGTGAAGACGTGTGCAGGGCCCCTAAACGTCATTCTCTATTTCCATATTTGCTCCTTACCTATAGCCCTATTGTCCTTCCTCGTTCTACTCTTTCAGATAAGGAAAGGAAAAGGATAGTATAGCATTTCCTTCCATTTCAGTCGATTCACTCAGAACAACACAAACTATGGGACTTATATACATGCCCCAAAAAGCAGCTATCGGACCTGGGGCAAGACCAGTGTCTTAGTGTGGTGCCGACCCAGCAGAAAGAACCAAACATCCCGGGTGGAATGAGCCCTGACACCCTGAGGTGGAGGGAGTGCCTCTGATGCTGTGAGTCAGAGAAATACTAACCCGAATTCAATGCAACAGTTCCTGCCATGGAAAGGTTTTGCCCCTGTCCGGGTTAGAAGAACATACAAACTTGTCCCACATTCTGAGTACAGTTCACATACTCAGATCATGTACTGAGTGCGCTGGAAATGAAACCTCCACTGCTCTGCTCAGAGTCTAAAGAAGGAGGGTAGAAACTAAAGAGCTCAATCATCTTGAAGCAGCAGCAAGATGGAATGACCCCGGGTAGATACGCAGTATTTTAAAGTCACCTTAGAGCCATCTAATGCAAACTAAGTGAAAGAAAGATGCACAGAGAGTGCATGAAGCTCGCAGCTCCTTTTGCAGAGGGACAATTTGCTAGGTGTTTAAGGGGAGAGCCTTAGGATCAAGTTGGACCTCTCAACAGGTAGGCATGTAGCTGCCACAATTCCAGGCCAATGTGAGACATTTTTCTGTGCCCCTATCCAGAACAGGGAGGATTATTTACAAGGATGGACCATCAGCACTATTGGCCAAGGTTGAGATCCAGCATCCATTCTGATCTGTTAAAGAAAACAGCAATGGCCAGTGACTGCTAGCCAAAATGACACTTGGATAGGAAAGCTAAAAAAAAACTGGAGCCACTCGGTTCTCCAGCAGAAGAGCTCTGCTCGAAATGGAGGTTATTCCCAGTCAGACACCCTCGGAGTCGGTTAAGGCGCGTGGAGCTAGCGAGGGGCCAATGGTGGCTTCAGGTGTTCGTAGGCCACGCCTTTCGACACAAACCTAACAAACTGTCTGGTCTGAATGTGTCGACATATTTTTAAAAAACAAACGTTTACGACTGTTGCAAACAAGCGCCCGTCACCCGAGTGTCAACATTTTAAACTTGTGCGTCCGTTCGACATTTTCGAGTCGAAAAATGGACGGAGCCCCACCCTCCCGGCTCCTCCCTTTCTTCGGAACAACAAAATAACGCCTGTACCAACCTTTGCTGGCCTCCAGGCCAACGGTGCGTTCCCCCGGAGTGCCGTTGCTTTGGTTCCCACGGTTGTTTGCAACAAAATGAGACGGGTGGGTGGCCCGGAACTGTAACCCATGGTAACAGGCCTCGCGTCCCGTGAGGAGGCTGCGCATGCGCACCAGATAGAGAGAGGACCGTTAACGAACGTTTATTATGTATACAGTATTCATATATATGTATATGAAGCAACACACCTGCGCACGGTTGCAGGAGACCTTTCCCCCCCCTCTTGTCCTGGAGAGGGACAACAATTATTGACCGCTAAACTCGTCTCAAGGGGAACAATGTGCTTGGGAGACCATGTAAGGTGAACACCAGGCCTTTTGGTGACTGGATCCCCAAACTGGACAAAGAAGGTGCCTCCCAACAGTTGTGGAACGGTAACATTTCCCAGTCACCGAAGCTCCTGACCATGTACCTCCACAGCTAGGAGGGCTGTGGTTTCTTCCTCGTAAGTGTGGGGTCTTACTGGAGGCCTGGAGGTGAGCCTTTACTCCAAGTTGACTGGTGGGTAGGATGGCAGCTTTACTGAGGCCCGGGACTAATGGAGAACTCAGACATCTTAGGGAGGCGGTGGTACTGTTTGTTGGAGAGAGCTCCCTGGTTTGAGTCCCTACATCTTCACTGAGACCAGCACTGCGCTGTGCCTCTTTCTGGTTCTCTCATATCACAAAGTGATCAACCAAATGGGGGCATCTGTAGATACCTCCTCTCTCCATGAAGCAACCCTGTCCAGGACGGGGGTCCTGGTCAGAGTGTTGCGTCACCACCTTGGATACCATTCCCAACCACAGGACTCACAATGGTACGGTCCAAGGTGATCTGGATCTATGTCTGGAAAATTGCAACAAAACTCGGGAGGCATGTAGTGCTAGTTGCACCTTGCAGATTTTGTCTATCTGGGATGCTGAAAATTTGCAAAACTCGGGTGGACGCGAGGTGTGACCATTACCACCATAGTTAGGGCCAAATAAGTTGCTAAAGATGGCTCCACGGCCAGGGGCCTAACCAGCCCAACTATTTCAACACCCTCAAAATCAAAATAACGTCCATTACCAAACACCATCGCAGAGGTGGACAGTGGCTTATTCCCTTAAACAAAGTCAGGACACATGTGTAGACAGCTTCTCGGTAAGCTTGGACAGGAGATTAAATATGGCGAAGCACAGCATAATTTGGGCCACTCCACAGGCTTTTTAGCTGCACCCCCATCGTGCGCCGTAAGATGTGCCCAGCTAGAAACGAGTACATGGACCGAAAGCTTTTCCTCTTCCGACTCGGACAAAGCCGGGTCTCTAGAGTCACAGAGCAGGGGGTCAGCAGCAATGGCCAGTGGTCATCCCACACTGACCCAGAAATGACTGAAAGGGAACAAACAGACACAAAATCTTTTTTTTTAAAAAGCCGGGGGGAGGGCGAGTCGAGACTGTGCAGAGACATTCCCTCATACAGTGGCTCTCTGTGAGAAAACCATCTGAAGAAGACCAAAATCAACTTAGTGAAATAATAAAACCCAGTCAAATACACCTCTGAGCTTGTGTTGACGGGTAAAAATAGCACAATAGTAATTTCTTAAGTTAAATGTCAGCTGTAATATAGTTTTCAAAAGTATGATCTTTCAGTTGAATGAGATAAACATCTAAATTTGAGCTTTTAAAAGGACAAAGTGAACAGTTAACTGTAGGTACATCGAATGGGGGACAACATCTTTCCTTAATCCTTAAGGAGAGGTCTTTCATTTCCAAAAAACTTCCATTTAATCCTTAGAGCATGTGAATAAAAACTCAAGAGTAGCAGTTTGATTATGATTACTACTTTATTACAATGATCATTATGCAGAAGTTATTCTGCTCTACAGAGAATACAGATAAGCAGGACTCATAGATACAAAACCAGGTTGGCTGGACAGAAATGGCACTTTAAAAGGTTAAATGTTATGTGTGGAGTTATACTAAGCTAACTCGTAAATAATTGTTTATTCAGGCCGCAGTTTGGATCAAAGTTATACCATCTCATTTTACGCTACAACAAAAAGGCACCGGAGCAGTGATGAACATAACGCTTTATGGGAACATCGCATTCTGTCGGAGGTAGTCAAACCAAACTGCATTGAAAAAGGAAACCTGGCGTAATTTCTACTTTTTTTTTTTTAGATTAAACATTCAAGTCACACATTTCAAGTTGAAGTTCGTACTCATGTGCCAATTTGGTCCAGCATTTGTTCCAAAAACATATCTAATGGCTGTTGGAATCCATGAATTTAAAGGGCACATTTCATCTTCCTCCCAAAGCCATGCCCAGCATGCTTTCCTCTGAAGGCTTTTCCTCTTAAGGGCTGAAGTTTAGTTAGACTTTCCATACCGAGATCAGCACATATTGGCACACATGTTGTATTTGGAGACTATAGGAAAGATTTTCGTATAAAATATAAAAAGGGTGTTTCAAGTTGAGCAAAAAACAGAAAAATACAATTTTTTCCCGAATCTTTTATCAAATACAGCTATCATTGAAAAGTGTACTTTTTGAAGCATTTGAAAAAAAATGTATTAAATATTTTCAAAAGTGCTAGAAATGTCTAAAGTGGTCAATTGAAAAAGCACTAGTGTAAACAAACCAAAGGACAAGGCAACACCATCACCTCATCAGCACGTTACTCCCACACTTTTCTGCCAGCGCCTTCTTCCCACGCTTCATTTAGAGTTCAGTTAGTGTACACCATGCAGCCTTTTCTTGGAACTTGACATGTTTAGGATAAATAAACACGTAGTTCTTTTGTCTTGCCAGGATTAGAAGTGTAACCTTTTTTTCCTGTTAAAATACATGCAGCGCTGGTTCTTTTTTTTTTCCTTTTTTTTTTTTTTACAGCCCTTTCCCTGCAGTCAAATCTCAAACAATCAGCATGCAGTGGACATCTTTAACAAATCACTATGTAAACGATTGTAGTCTTGGTCACAGTGTTTTCGCTGAGCGTGTCATACCATAATTCTGAATGTGAGCCGTTCATGCTGCAGAGAGAGTTAAACCCTTCTGAAAGAGGAATGTGGAGCCGCCGCTGAGCAGCTGAATTTTCAAGGGCTGGTCTTAAAAAGCTCTCCTGCTTTTGCAAAGTTTCCCCGAGTAGAGGGCTGTAGAGCTGGTGGATACTGCTATTAGACTGATCAGAATGTGCCGTGAGAGCCAAAGCGCAATGGAAATCTGCGCAGCAGCTGACTCTACGAAGCAAACGGTGACCGAATAAACCACCGGGATCTGTAGTTAATTTGTGAGTAGGGCCGTGCAGGTTGAAGTATTTGTGTAATTGCGTCGAGCCGCCGCTGGAGGGGGGGAAAACAAACCCAAAGCTTTCTGCATCCTGACCATCAGGAGAGGAGCTGCGTGTTGAGTTAATCGATTCACCGACCCTCGAGCATGGCGCCGTGGGCCGGCTTTTGGGTTTCTGACCTCGGTGTGTCCACGGTGACGGGTCTCCGGGGGGGTTAGAGTGCACTGAGGGCCATGTGCCGCGCCGGCAGGAGGAGGTCTCGTCGCCCCCCCCCGGGTACTAGCAGCACCTCCTGGCCGAGGGGGCGGGCTGTCGGGTGAGTTTAAAGGACTCGTTGCTCTCCACTTCAGGGTTTTCCAGGGGTGGAATCTGTTTACCTGAGAGTAGAGAAATGAAGTCATTTTTGATGCCTTGAACGTGATCATGAATGTGATCCTACACGCATTATAGGTATGAATACGAGAACAAAACTGCAAATTGTTCCTTCTTAATGTTTCACAGGGACAGGGGGAGGCTTTGGTCAGAAAGTTCTGGCACCCGTTTGACTGAAGCAGCTTAAAGCCATGGAACCTACTGATTTTCTGAAAAAGTTCCTCCACGTTTACAGCATTTCTGGCACTGGTCTCGATGAAAATAGCTGCGATTGACTCGGCAAACTCCTTCGCTTCCTTCATAGGAACTTCCCTGTGAAATTTAAGCAGATGTTCAGAGAGTTTCAGCTGTGACTTTCTTCCGCTCCTTTTTGTTCGGGACTTTTACAGCTTCTTTTCCGACCCCGGAGCAGATAAATGAGCCCACCTGATGTCTCCTAAATCGTTCTTGTTCCCTGCAATGGCTACAACTATGTCCTCTGGACCGTGTTCCTTCAACTCCTTCACCCACTTCTTCAGTGTCTGGAAAGAGTCCTGGACAACAGGAACACATCCTGGTTTAGCCTGGGGCCGGCTGGGTTTATTCGAATATGCCACACATTTCTTTAAAGTGGTGTCATGCAGTCAGTGCATCCGTTTCTATTTTTTGTACAGTTTCCATAAGCTAGCCAGGAAAGAATGACATTTATAGGTCAATGAAACAACATCCCAAAGTGAAGAAAAGAGCAGCTCAGTTTCACATCAGACTCAGAATGAACACAGTTTTTTTGGGGGATTTGTTTTCATCCAAGAAAAAGGTAGAAGTTACTAACCAGTTTAGTTATGTCGTAGACAATTACAGCTGCGGCTGATCCTCTGTAGTACATCGGAGCTAACGAGTGAAACTGAAAAAAGGACGACACATTCAACAGTTCATTTAAAAGAGCGCTCTTAAATCTGCACAGCAGCATTAGACTTGATTTGTTGACATAATTAGGACAGAAGAAGGCTGCTGTACGACCAGCATACACGTTTATTCTCTTCCAACCTAAATACCAAACGTATGTTAAATGTAAGTAGTTTAATTAAATCGAAAATAAGTGTTAGCTTGTGTTTTACCATCATCATTAAGCTGCACTGCTCGTCACCCCTGAAGGCTCTATGCTCAGGTCGACACCGTGCTGCTTTCATGGCACATCCCACAACAGCTTACAGCCTGAATCACCAAAGTGTTTAGCCGAAGGTTTGCATTCGGGTCCATGCTTAGGAGCTTTTAATGCTGTGGAATGATAAGTGCTGACGCGGGGAAATGACCACTGCTTCGATCAGCAGAAATGAGCATCACATTTTCGGTGCGTTGATGGCGGCACGTGCAACACCAACGGGGATATCCTCATCAAAACCGGGCTTGGCGGGGCCACTACAGGTCAGCAAACCCACAGCAGGCCGTTCAGCCTGTCTGCCAGACACGGTAGAACCTCTTTTAACTCAATTACAAGTCCTCTTCAAATAAAACTCCCTCCAGTCTGCTTGGACAGAGCCGGGCGCAGAGCTGTGAGTGTGTTCCTCATGTTTACCTGGAAGTCCGATGTCATCGGATAACCGCAGCAACAGAAGTCTCGCTCCTTATTTTCACATAAGCAGGAAATACTTGCACTGGTTTTTCCATGCAGTAAGCAAGTCTGGCAAGTTTAGCTGCACCCCGCACCCCCCCCACAAATGAATCACTAAGAAGCCTCATGAAACCCCACTCCCCACCTCCCCCCAGTGGACACTTATCTGAACACCAAGTCTGAAAGCATCGGAGTATCCTCCCTTCTTGTTGCTGCCATTTAAAAATAAATCATCAGATAAAAGTACCTGTCTTAAAATGAGAGCAGAAGCTAGCCAACTACTGTAGTCTGAGAGAGACGAACACCCAGATACAATGTATTTTTGTGGCTTTTCCTTAACAAAAACACAGCTGTTGTCTTCTATATTTATTTTTCTTTCCTGCTGTACAAGGTGACAGGACAAAAATCATTGGGAACATACTTAAGGTTTCACCATCAAGTATCGGCAATCGTCTCTTTTTTTTGGTGCAATAGCTAAAATACCCGTGTGTTACACTAGTTACCAGAGGATTCCACCAGGGGGCCCACCTAGCAGCTCTGTCTAGAAGCTGCTGCTGAATTTGCAGCTGTAACCTGGGGCTCTCTAATGAACAGTAATTATGAGGCTAATGGCAGCGGTTAGCACTGGACTGATCCCACAATATCGACGGAGCATGCGAAAAAACAGAAGAGGAAACATCGACAGCAATCTAACACACCACCTACAGGTAACCTGCATGTTGCAGCTGACATACACACAACGCTCATTTCTGAGGACAACCGACGCACCCAATGAAACTAATGAATGCAGGTTAAATAAGGCAGCCGTGATGACAGCAGGCATGTTTCTGTACAGGGGGACAAGGCCTCTGGGCTGGACTAGGATCAGGGGAGTCCATTCATTTCCTGAGAAGGAAAGACATCTCCTAACCTTCTAAACCTGTGTGAGTCACTTGGTAACATCACTGTGTCACGAGCATCTCTGAGATGCAAACTGTCATGAAAGGCTGACTTTAAAACATGATTCATGTATGAACTAATAACAAAAGTGATGTGATGACTGCTCACCCGCTCCTGTCCAGCGGTGTCCCAGATCAGAAACTTGTGCAGTTCATTTCCACTCGGTACCGTCTTTGTCAGGAACGACGCTCTGTGGATGAGCATTATTTCAGTGCTTCTGAAATCATTCTTTCAAAAGACCTGCTCAAGTCAGCAGTAAATGAAAACGACTGAAAATAGAGGTGTCTGAGGGAGGTTTTACCATGAACAAAAAAGACAAAAAAACAGTAATGATGGAGGCTGTAGTTGTTTAGAAATACAATTATTATTTTTTTGCAGTTTTATCATTCAGTGCATTTTATTTTTCAGCCTGCAGTTTCTCATGTGCTGTCTTCTTCTATTATGTTTCAAATATATGTACAGTTATTTCAATGGATTGGTCATTCTGTCAGAAGAGGTAGACTGAATACTTTTTTTAAATCACAAGGACAATTGGAAGGTGCTGTATATTCAGTCAGGAGAGGAAAATAAATGACAAAAGTTTCAACATCTTTGGAGCTCCTCCAGGAGCCATGGCTGATTTATTAAAGGCCAGGAAAGATTAAATTGTATCATTTCTGGAGTGAGTTCTATCCAAATGACCAAAACTTTAGCAGCAAAGAGCCGTCAAAACTTTAAGTGTTGACATAAACACTTAAACACCAAAAAAAGAAAAATGCTCTTCGCTCCTTCTGCATGTGAGAAAACACTTGTACTGTTTATTTAGCTTAGTAATGTGTTTCTGTTGAGCTTGTACATATCAGAGTACAGCCATCTTTCTTTCTGCGACTGGTTACTATTAAATTTGTTTTTAGTTAGTCGGCGAGGAAAAAAGAAACCTTAACATATCCAGAGAAGAGAATGAAGACTAAAAGGTTTCCAACAGATTTACACATTTTTTAAATGTATGATGAAATCTAACTAAATTTGTCATGTTTAGAGCCTTTAACCTGCCTGTTTTTCTAACTCTTTGATTGCTTCGTTTCCTTCAGATGGGATCTGGACTGATGGTACTCACCCTATGGTCGGACTGATGTTATGGTCAAAATGATCCTGAACAAATCGGCAAACAATGCTGGATTTACCAACTCCGGTGTCCTGAAAGCAGAAAGACATGCATCAGTCACAGCAAAAGAAAACAAAGTACTTACTATGAACCCAGTTGATTGTGCAAATGTGTGGTCACAAGCACATCAGAAAAGTTTCTTCTAGCCCACAAATTGTTCTCAAGTCTCTGATTTGACAACAAAACTACTTTACTATGATGAAAATGCAGGGCTTTTTCAATCTAGTCAGTCCCAAATACTTAATATTCAGTCATTTTTTTGTTATTCAAACATAAACCACTTTTAAAGTTAGTAATTAAATATGTAAATCTGCAACCAGCACAACGTTAACAGGGACCGTGTAAAGACTTCAAATGAGTCTTAATGAGTGGGCCTGTGTCAGAGTGCACGGGCCCGTTAATGGAACATTAAAAAGTGCCCGGTTTTACACTTCTCTTGTGAATAAAGAAGCGTTTGATGCCAGCCCGAAGCGTTTCCAGACAAAAAGACGGCGACGGGACCGCAAAACTGCGGCGTTTTGCAAACGCAGCAGGAAATGTTAACGGCTTCCATGTAGCGGCTGGTCAGATGCTGACGTCATGTGTGATGAACTGTACAAACCGTTGGAAAAAAAGAGAGCTAAAAACGCGATGATTCCGGTCAAAATAAACACAAAAATGACACTCGACGTTAAGAAACCGATGGAAAAGGAGCGCCGAGCCCCGTTCGGACGATGAGACGTGTTTTTTTTTTCAGACGACGCGGTAAATCATCACAGCCCAAGTTTTTTTACTGACGAACGCAGCACTGAAAAAAACTTTAACAACATCTCAAAGTGACCAAACATAGATATCAACGTTTAGCCTTTTTTTGTTTGTTTGAGTTGCTGTCAACGTCAACGTGTTTTCTATTAGTTTCACTCGCATCAGACTAAAGGAATTTCCCCCAAAATTGATAAAGCAGAAGAAGAAAAAAACATCTGTCACTTACCCCTAAAAGGCAAACTTTGAGCTCCCTTATGGCCATGGTGGGTTTAGGAAGTTTCTTAATCAGTGTCTTTGTCTCAACATGCTTGACACAGCGTAAATGTTTTTTCCTCTTGTCGGATAAAAGGCAGACCCAGCCCCCAGGCAGACGGACTGACCATCCACTTTCAGAGGCTGCGTCTTCTTCTGCTTCTTCTTCTTCTCTTGTTGTTAAAACGGCAGCGGACATCCGGTTGGTGTCGTTACTGCCATCTCCTGAAGCCACCGCTTCATGTCCGAACTCCAAAGTCCAGCTTTATTCAGGAAGTCCGCGATCCGCTTCCTCCTTGACTGGCTCATCCAAAAGTTTGTGTACACTAAACAATCTGAATTTCACATCTTCAAAAATAAGTCTAGCTGCATGTATTAGGAATAGCTAAGAGCCTGAGGGATCCGTGTCATGTCAATTTTCCATTTTTAAGCATGATGCAGAAACTCTCTAAATTTAGATTAAACTCTACTCGAGCAGCGCAACATGTAATAATAATAATAAAGCTTCTTAGAATATCCGAAGAAGAAAGAGAAATTATGTAACTGTGGCACCATTATAATAAAATATACAAGCACCTTTCAACCACCTTTAAGGGGAATTTTCAGGATTTTACAACACCTCGCCATAAAGATAAAAATGTATTTAAACATCACATAGATTTTCAAAGAAAATTGTAACCTTTTCATCATATATCAGATGATGTTGAGCTGTAAAGAGCCTTTTTTTTAATACCAGCTCTTCACAGAAAGTCTAAGCTATCCTTTAATTTACATTAACTTTAGAACTTAACCTCTATGCCTGGCAAATCATTTAAAAATATTCTTTATTGAAAAAAATGGATGATACCATCCAACCTTTTGAGGTGGGCAGTCCCGATCGGCTTGATTAGTTGTGTCCTTCATAACAAACAAAGGATAAAAATGTCCCGTTTTGTATGGACCGCTCACCTGTAGCTGTTGAACACAACATGGAAGTTACACCGGACAGTCTGTAAATGCTCGCTTTTAGATTAAATGCTTCTAATCTAACTAGAAACTCAAGTAGGTTTTAAGCATGGAATCCAAGTCAAAGCCCACCATCCTGAATAAGGATTTATTTTGTCCAAGACAGAGAATGGAGGATAAAAAGTGTCAGGCTAAATGCTAAATGTGGAATAAGCTCCATCTGTTCGACGAACAGATCCAGAATCAACACTTTATTCTTTACAGCATTAGACCGTCTGTAACAATCTGCTACAAAAGCTCAGCACAGTATGAAAATAACCTCATGAGAAGCTTCTGAGCTCGATCCGGCACGTCTCTGTTTCAGTCACAGGGTTAATAATCATGAGTCCAGATGAGATTGCCTCATTCTGTCCATGACCGAAGCAGGGGCAGTCACACTAGCATTACCCATACAGGCCAATTATGATTACAAAAAAGGAACATGTGACAAAAGAAAAGAGCTGAAAATACAGTTTGCAATTTTACCACAATACACAGAAAAGTTAGGTGAGTCAGGCCATGCCTCTGCTTTGAACGAACAATGCAAGTACTCCACAACATTGTGGATCCATTATGAAATGATTGACTTTGTTTAAGCTGACGCCATTAATGACTTCACAATAAATCTGGAGAACACAGAGAAACACACAACAAAGCTGAGCCTCCACCCACATCCTGTGACCCCACATGGGTTAAATCAGCATTAAACAGAGCAAATGTCATTTTCCAGTCTCCTCTCTTGCACAGGAGATTCACAGATAGCAGAACGACTGGAGCAGCGTTTGTGTCCTTTCGTTCTGTGTGTTTTTTTTTGTCGTGCGGCACCGCCGTGTGTTTTTGCATCTGCTGTCCAAAGAAAAGAAAGCCTCTACAGTAGATTTACAAAGCGGTTGCGATTTAAACCAATTTATTTCTTTAACAGGCATCAATTTCTGTCAGAATGTGACTTAAATATATTTTATATAAATTCACAAATCATAGATTCTTCACAGAACTTCTGAATTAGTGGTTCTCTGGGAGCTGTCTCTTTAATTATGGCACAGTGGTCTCTATGCTGACAAGCCAACTTTGCCTTAAGGTAAAGTGTTAAAAATAAGTTACAGGGACGGTTGCAGCTGTGTTTGTGATCATTTCTTAACTTACTCACCAGTAAAAATAGAATTTGTGCAATCCATCTCAAACCCCTCCAGCCCCCTTCAGGAACCCCCACACTTCCTCTCCGTCCGTCCTCCTTCATACAGGCTTGGCACAGCAGATGTGAGGTTATGGTCCCTGTGAGTCTACACAGTGGTAGCAGATCATCTGCTAAAGCTGCTACTCTTCTTTCTAGATTCTGCGTTTTGCGTGGGATGTAAAACAAAGTCTGCGGACGACACGACAGATGGTGGACGCGATGAATGGAGATCTATCTGTGGTGGACAGAGGGCGGTCACATGTTGGCGTCTCTCCTGTCTTTGCTCGGCGACGGCTTCGAGGGGTCCTTGGCGGGCTTCCCGTTGGTGGGGGCGGGCGTGTCGGCGGGCGGCGCGGCGGCGGCGGCCACGGCTGCGACCGTGCGCT